TAACTGACTGATCCACTCGGGTTGTAGGGACTGGGTATCAAGATCTTGAAGTATTGTCTGTGGACTTTGTCCCTTTTAGTCACTTGAACCACCTTTCTTAGAAATCTCATTTCTGAGGCCTGAACCTGGCTTCTGTGAGCTGTTGTCATTGCCCATCACTCACACCCATAGGTCAAGACTGGTACATAGTTGAGCGGTAAGCAGCCATTTTCGTCATTTTGCCAGTTTCTCTGTTGCTAAGAAACCCTCGGTTTATGGCCTAAAGAGTCTCTCAGAAGCTGCTTTTTGTGCCGCCAGCTCGGTCTTTATGCCTCCTTTTTTGTCTTATACAATTCCAAGGTATTTGAACTGGCTGACCAGCTCTAATGCATACTGTCCCATCATAATCTGGCGATGTTTTTTGTTTTTTTTCTCCTTTCTTGAGATCAGCATGGTTTTAGTTTTGGACTGGAATAATTAAATGTTTTCACGAATAAGAATCCAACAGTCCGCCTGTAGTAGACTTTGTTCTTTGGACCGACATAGAAAACGCTATAACAAGCCTCCTAACTACTTCAAACCGCGGTAGAGATAATGGAGTCAAATAATTATGGTCTAATACAAAGAAAACACTACCCACAGCAAATGTCTATTCATCCCTTACCCTTCCCCACCCCATGCCCACCCGACACAAAGAAAGAATATCTATAATGTTATGAGGTCAGAAAAAATTGCTTCAGATAGATACCCTCATGTTCCTTGGATTTATCTTCGACACCAGACAAACAGAAAGCCAAAATTAGAAGGTGACAAATATGCACGAAAATGTCAACAACAAATAAAGACTCGCTATAATAGAGAAATAAAACCTGTATAGAACATAATGGGAAGCTTATATTAAAAACAAACACAAAATACATTAGGACAATACATTGGAGCAGGTAGGCTCATGGCTAAAGCAGCGAAAACAAACAAGTGGTCCAAACTATCTAGCAAGAGAAACAGAGAAAACATGAAAAACATATTGATATATGGCATTCTTACGCACAGCACAAACATCGATGCGTTGTCCAGACCTATCAAGTACATATCTTGATGTTTCAGGAATAATCTCCAAAAATAACAAGCTGAGTCAAAACAAGGAACCTTGTCGTTTCTCACATTCAAGAATCAGTATCTCTCTCACATTTTTGCTAAAGAATTAACAACAGCGAAGGAGCAGGAATCTTCATTGCCTATCCTATCGCTAGCATAGCGTCAGGGAAGAGGTATCAGCCCTCCCATCACGCCAGTTATGTGTTTAATAAACATTAAATTTCTTTCGTCCTTGAAGAAAATAGGTATGACTGGAATGTCCACCGTGCACACCAATATCACTCAAATTGGACAAGGTTGCAGGTCATACCTGTCGTGGTAATCGTCTTAGCGATATGCATCTCTCATAGCATTGGTGACATGGTTCCTCACCAAAGCCAGACTAGTCAGCCACAATGTCAGCCAGATAATCTGCACGCTCATTACCTTGAGCACCTGCATAGCCTGAAACAATGAAAAGGGTTAGACTTTCCAGTCGCAACGAATTTAATGTGACACTCGATTCTTTTCTGATGAAGCGGGCCTTGAAGATAGTGCGTGTCACTGAGCTGAGAACCTCTGCATTAGCCCCACTGGCGTGTCCATATTGTAAGATGTAAAAAGAAAGAAGTCCATTGAAACACAAGCCAGATTTGTTATTCCATCTTTCTGTTTGCTTGATTAAATAAGGTATAAGTTAAGCACGGAATTAGGCTCGCTAATTACTGACACATGAAACAAATAATGGAAAGAGGGCAGTTGAAAATAGAAAAGTTCCTTGATGGCTTGTCCACATCACATTAATGGGGCGGGGCAAGAGCACTTCCTGATCCGTGATACTGTAGATCGTGTAAGTGGGGCAAATATCATTACCGCCTATGCCTATTACCAAGGTACATGATGATGATAATATTTCCACACCGACCACACCTAGCGTATATGTGACCACACCTAATATATATCTAACCACGTCTACTGCAGACGTGACCACGTCTAGAATATGTGTGACCACGACTAGTGAATATGTGACCACACCTACTATTTATAGATATATACATATCTATACGACCCCATTAAATATTTATGGGACCATATCAATTAAATGTGTGATCTCGTTTACTCCTACTTCATCCCCAGGAGGGTCCAGGGGCCCTGTTACAGGGAAAACAAGAATAGACACACTGCCTACCCACAAGCATCTCGTAAGAGTCGACTAATTGGGAGATTCCTTCGAAGTCTGAGTGAATCTGCCTGAAAGGCAAGGAACCAGCAGTCTGCATACAAATGAGTCAGATCTGTAAAACGGATGCACATGCAACACTCAGGTTCTGGAACAAGACTGCAGTCCAGAACTGGATGAACAACCAGAACTTTTAGATTACAGAGTTTACAAATGCTGAACGTGACGAAGAAGAAGAAGAAGAAGAAGAAGAAGAAGAAGAAGTAGCGGAAGAAGAAGAAGAAGAAAAAGAAGAAGAAGAAGAAGAAGAAGAAGAAGAGAATAAGAAGAAGAAGAAGAAGAAGAAGAAAGAAGAAGAAGAAGAAGAAGAAAGAAGAAGAAAGAAAAAAAGAAAAGAAGAAGAAGAAGAAGAAGAAGAAGAGAGAAGAAGAAGAAGAAGAAGAAGAAGAAGAAGAAGAAGAAGAAGAAGACGAAGAAGAAGACGAACAAGAAGAAGAAGAAAAAAAAAACAGAAAAAGAAAAAGAAGAAGAAGAAGAAGAAAGAAGAAGAAGAAGAAGAAGAAGAAGAAGAAAGTAGAGGAAGAAGAAGAAGAAGAAGAAGAAGAAGAAGAAGAAGAAGAAGAAGAAGAAGAAGAAGAAGAAGAAGAGAGAAGAAGAAGAAGAAGAAGAAGAAGAATAAGAAGAGTAGAAGAAGAAGAAGAAGAAGAAGAAGAAGAAGAAGAAGAAGAAGAAGAAGAGAAGAAGAAAGAAGAAAGAAGAAGAAGAAAAAGAAGAAGAAGAAGAAGAGAAGAAGAAGAAGAAGAAGAAGAAGAAGAAGAAGAAGAAGAAGAAGAAGAAAAAGAAGGGTAAGAAGAAGAAGAAGAAGAAGAAGAAGAAGAAGAAGAAGAAGAAGAAGAAGAAGAAGAAGAAGAAGAAGAAGAAGAAAGTAAGAAGAAGAAGAATAAGAAGAAGAAGAAGAAGAAGAAGAAGACGAAGAAGAAGAAGAAGAAGAAGTCAGAAGAAGAAGAGAAGAAAGAAGAAGAAGAAGAAGAAGAAGAAGAGAAGAAGAAGAAAGAAAAGAAGAAGAAGAAGAAGAAGAAGAAAAGAAGAGAAGAAGAAGAAGAAGAGAAGAAGAAGAAGAGAAGAAGAAGAAGAAGAAGAAGAAAAAGAAGAAGAAGAAGAAGAAGAAGAAGAAGAAGAAGAAGAAGAAGAAGAAGAAGAAGAAGAAGAAGAAGAAGAAGAAGAAGAAGAAGAAGAAGAAGAACTACTTAGAATTATAGAATTATATGGTTTCGGTGTTGCGAACGCGTTTGGTAATTTCGAAATGCCCAGTTCCCTTTCAGCTACAATCAGCATGGCTGAAGGTAGCTTTGTGTGGATCTCGACAATGGTATACAGCGCCGACAGCTCTGTAAGCAATGGCAAACTTTTGAATTTAAAATTATCTAACACCAAAGATGAAAAATAACACATCAGCAGTAACAACACAACAAAATGGTCGAGCTTTTTTTTTTGCAACCTCCTGTAAGGGATAGGTTGCTACAGTCAGTTCCAAAAGTCGTGGGGAACGTTTAAAATCTGTAACTCAGTAACTTTAGGGTAAATTGTTATTAAAATGTGCCATGCAACCTGTTAACAATCATGTCCTTGTATGAAACAAATTATAATGTCGACAGACATCTAGTTTTAATTTTTGCTTTTTTTTATGTGGGGGAAAAAAGATTCAAAGTGAAAAGTCAACCTATTAACAGTAAACGACATTTTACTTTACGCATTTCGAAGGTAATCCATGCTAGGAATTAAGGCGTGCTTATTTTGAATTATGAAATGCATATATCATGTACTTCTATAATGCTTGTTGACTGGCTCATAAGAAGTACACTATATATGTCAATTACTGTACATTCCTAGTTCGACAAAAATCAAAGATACTCGGACTGTGAGAAAACAGCTGCACCTGTGCAATTGTAAATTAGGGATGTTTTAGAGCATGAGTAATTTAAGACCACATGAAAAGAATTCGTGTTATTCCGTGAAGGAGTTTTTAAGATTTTTGTTAAAGTTTGCTTGCACAACTCATAGCAAGAACTAAACCATTTGTGTACCTCAACAGAGCAAGTCTGCCAAGATCTGACAGATGTGCTCTTCATCATGGATTCCTCATCAAGCATTGGTATCGACGACTACAGTCGACAAGTTACCTTCGTGGCAGATCTGACCCGACATTTTACTGTAGGACCTGATAATGTTCAAGTGAGTGTCCTGGTGTTTAGCTCCAGGCCTAACATAGAGTTCAACTTCACAGCTCATCTTGACAATGCTGGATTATATCAGGTATATAAACATATATTTTCACAATTGTTGTAATATTATCAGTGTTCCTTTTTATTGTTATTGATGTTGTTGCTGCAGCTAAAATTTTTGTTTTTGTTGCTGTTGTAGCTGTTGTTGAATTTCTTGTTGAAGCTGTTGCTGATGTTGTTGTTCATACTGATATTGTGGCTGATGTTGCTGCTGCTGTTGTTGTTACTAAATTGTACCTTAAGTGTAGTCTACATCTGCTACTGTAATGTACACATGTTGTTGTAATCAACATATTTTGCTGTAATCTGCATCTGTGGCTGTAATCTGTACCTGTTGCCGTAATCTACATCTGATATAATTTACATCTGTTGTAATACACATCTGTTTCTGAAGTCTACATCTATTGTAATCTACATCTAATGCTCTCATGCTCGCCTGCCTTGTCGCATGTTACAGGCCATCTTGTTACTGCCCTACTACCAAGCGTTAACCAACACAGATGCAGCACTAAAACTGGCCAGACAAGTGGCTTTCACCGCTGCCAACGGAGCCAGACCTGGCGCCAAAAAGGCAGCTATAGTCCTCACCGACGGAGCTTCCAATAACTGTAAGTTTGCTTGAAGCATCGTTGTAACTATCATCGTCGTTTTCATTATTGTCAATATCAACTTCAATCCTGACATTTTCATCATTGTCGCGACTGTCATCAACAACATCAGCATCATGACATCGTTACCATCAACATCCCCATTATCATATCAGCATCAACTTCAGTATAACAGCTTCAATATCATTGCATCATCACATACATAATAATTATTGCCATCATAATCAGTAATATAATTATCATTATTATCAGCATCAGCGCCATCTGCTTATATCATCATCATCCTTATCACCATTTTTCACCGCCATATTTGTTGTCATCGTCGTTATAATCATCTTTACAGCACGTTCATCACACTGTCTTCATTAACGGGACCATCATCAACCTCATAATCAAGCGCCAACTCAACTTCTTTACTGTGTTTCCATGTAGTTCTTCTTCTTCTTCTTCTTCTTCTTCTTCTTCTTCTTCTTCTTCTTCTTCTTCTTCTTCTTCTTCTTCTTCTTCTTCTTCTTCTTCTTCTTCTTCTTCTTCTTCTTCTTCTTCTTCTTCTTCTTCTTCTTCTTCCTCTTCTTCTTCTTTTTTTTCGTCTATAAATTAATTCTTCATGGTTGTATCCTGTTATCCCCAGCAACTGCAACAGCCATTGAAGCCGGCCTCTTCAAACAGTCAGGAGTTAAAGTCTTAGGCATCGGTATCGGCACCTATTTCGCCATAGACGAGCTACTCGTCATCGCCTCGTCTCCCAACCTAGTGTACAACGTCAGTGGATATGACGTGCTGACCTCGATCGTCCGGGAAGTGGCCATTACAACCTGCCAAAGTAATTGAGAAATCACTGTAACCTCTACTTCAGGTTCACTTCTACTTTAATATTCTTTTTCTGCCTTTCTAACCCTTGTGGAGCCAAGGCCGTCAACCAACTGACGCCAAGTCGTCCTATCTTTCGCTATCGCATGCAGCTCTCCCCGTGCCCCCCCCTCCCCACCCCCCATCTTTATGACTTCACTCTCTAGCCCCCTTCTCTGTGATTTGTGTGTATGTGTGTGTGTGTGTGTGTGTGTGTGTGTGTGTGTGTGTGTCTTTCTTTATTTCTATGTTCCTGTGGGTTCCAGTGTCAATACATTCTAGTCATATTGTTCTCACTTTTTCTCAACATGTGTCCTATCCGAGCCAGCGTTTTTTCTTCACCTTTTGGTCTACCAGACATGTTTATTTCTTTTCCAAAGTTCAACATTGGTGGTTTTATCATACGGTTTAATTCCCTCTGTTCTGCTCAGGCACCAGTTAATGAATATTTGTAATTTATTAGTATTTGCTTTAGTTGTTTTTCATGATTCTGCTTCACACAACACTAATGATTTAACGTTAGAAAAAAAAAATTACTTCACCAATACTTGTGCTTCAGTTTGCCAAATCCCCAAATAACTCTTTCATTTGCACTTTACTTTCATGTGTACATTATTTCCATTTGAATTTCAGTATACTTTATACTTTGCTGATTTTTTAACACTTTCATCGCGACGCGAGTTCACAATGTCTTAAGCTCTTTCAACCAATCATTCCCTTCAGTGTTTCCCTTTTTTTGGATCTCCCCAGAATCTCATCTGTACTTCAGATTCGCGTTTACTTCATTCCAATTGTACTTCAGTTTATCTTGTGCTTCATTCCACTTGTACTTCATTCTCTTGCGTCACTCTCTCTTCTACCTCTGTTTGTTCTACTTATGCTTCTGTTTTACTTGAAATTCGGTTTCACTGGTACTTTATACCACTTCCACGTCAGTTTCTCTTGTGCTTCATTTTTTTTTCTTGTGTTTAATTTTCTCTTGTGCAATTACATAGTGGTCTATTGACAGGGAAGTATATACGGTGATGGATAGACAGAAGATAGTGGGCTCTACGAAACAACCTACACAGCACACGCTAATGATTGCACTAGATGCCCCTTTAAATCCTAAAGGCTAAAAGACAGAACATGGATTAGAGAAGAAGAAGAAGAAGAAGAAGAAGAAGAAGAAGAAGAAGAAGAAGAAGAAGAAGAAGAAGAAGAAGAAGAAGAAGAAGAAGAAGAAGAAGAAGAAGAAGAAGAAGAAGAAGAAGAAGAGAGGAAGAAAAAGAAGGAATTGAGCAGGAGATGGAGAAAGAGGAGCAGATGAAGAGAAGAAAGAAGACTAAATTTTGTCAATCGTGTTTTCATTCAGAAAAAAATCTAATGATTACTAACCTCTCTATGTTTAATCATTAGCCTTGCCAGCAACATCATCAACAACAACAGTTACGACGACAACAACGACAACAACACAAGAACCATCATGTGTCAGTGGGAGCTGCTCAAACAGACCAGATGGAACCTATGAAGCGTGTCCTAAGGAGTGTATACAAGGTCTTTACTACGTCTGCAGAAATGGTGTAGCACAACAAAGGTAACTCACTTGCTATCAGATAAGATTATTTGTGTCGGTAGTTATGTATCGTCGGATCTGTGGCTAAGTCGATGCGAACGCTTCGTAAAGCCAGGGTGCCGAGTTCGATCCCAGCTGCTAGCCATGCGCCTTGCGTTGGTTTCGACAGTGGTATCAAGAAAGCCGACCGTCCAGTCAAATGGTAAACTACTGGACGTAAATTTGCCTAGAAAAACCGCACAATAGCCAGGGGCTGTTGGGGTTGGTTCTGCAACGTCCTGTCAAGGATACGCAACTAACCTTTAAGTTATGTATCTGTTGTATTGTCACTTCTTCTTCTCTTTAACTTTTACCGACTGGTAATTCTGGCAGAAAGATCTTTCACTTCTGGACCTCAACCTCTAGACTTGGGTCTTGTTACAGAACTTTAGTTTGGTATTCCTGCAGTTAATCTACCTGTTCTTCTATTATCACTTGCGCTATTTTTTTAAAACGCTTATCTCTTTATTCCTCCATTGTCCCTTAAGTTAATTTTTCAAACAGTTCTCTGTCTATTCTTCTTTTATCGCTACAAGATCAACTACAAGATCAAGAGGAGAGCCAAGAAACTATGGATTGGCAACATTAAAGACACTCTGCGTCTTCATGAATGGACAATAACCAGTGGCAGTCGACGTGCACTGGATCGTAAATTATTCCTCCCCACGTCTCTTAACGACAGAGGTGGTTGATGATGATATTGAGGACATTCTGGGCCTTCACGGCATGACAATAGCCAGAGGCAGCCGCCTTGCACTGGATCGAAAATTATTCCTTCTCACGCCTCTTAACGGCAGTGGTGGTTGATGATGATGATGAACGCGTAATCAGTCCGACAGTAAGGACCGCAGCAAATGAATAGCAAACGTGTTTAGAAATATCACCTCTGGAGGTAATTCCGGCTGAGATCACTGCTTTGTGTCTGGTCTTAGAGGCCAGACTGCCTCGCTTAGCAGCTCTTGCTGAAGTTTACACTGTGTTACCGATCTCTTCTGCTGAGGTAAAATACTCATTCTCTAAATAGAGATCTGTTCTGTCACCACTGAATTATTCTCTGTCGCTAGAAAATCTGAGAGCTTACATACCGTTTTCTCCAAAAATAAATAAATAATAAATGTATAACTATTATTAAATACACTGTTACATATGTAAGCAAATCTGTGTATTTAAACTTTACAGAAGTGGACAGTTTTATATACCGATTTGATTATGATTACTGATTAGAAATAATAAAAATTGCACTCGTTTTGCTTGGGTGACAATTTAGCCTGATGAGCTTACGATGTAGCATATTCCGCGCCGCGCTTAGCCACTGAATTTGATAAATCATGACACGGAATGTGATAAAACATGTCACGGAATTTGATAAAGCATGCCACGGAATTCGATAAAACATGTCACGGAATTTGATAAAACATGGATATTAATAAAACATGCCACGGAATTAGATAAAACATGCCACGGAGTTAGAAATTTCTTTTGCCCGGGCTAAATCGTGTGAAGTTACAAATTAGACAAAAGTAAAGGACATTTTCCCGTACATTTAGACGTATTGGGAAAATAGGGCTAGACCAATATTTTAAAGACTAATCGGCGCTTGGTGGGTGATGTGGTCAGCATCTCGCCGGGGGTGGATCGTGCGCCCTAACAATAATATGTGTGCTACTGTTGATCATTATGGAGAGCAGCAAAGCTTAGAGGCCTAGTGCATCCCTGCTCCCCCGAAGGTCTAAGATTCAGATCCGTAGGGAGGAGCATCCCCCCCCCCTTCCCCCACAACTGAGCTTGGATTCCAAAGGCGATAGAGCCTAAAATAGGGAACCAGTGAAGTCAATTTCCCGGGAAACAGACAGTCGGCGTGATGTTGACTACATCACCCATAGATGTGTCTTTTGAAATTTAGAATTAATCAAGTAACAGAAAGTGTATTGATCGGCACTCATAGAAAGAAGTAGAAAGATAGAAGAACACACTAGACAACATAAAAATCGAAAGCTTTAGTTACCGTGCCGGGAATTGAACCTGTCACCTCCAGACGGCGTCTGCGCCTCGCCATGAATACAAGTGCACTATGTTTATTTATTTATTAAAATTTATAAGGGTTTTTTAGACGAATGATGAGAATATCCTAAACAGGTAAAAAAGAGTAATGAAGACGTCTTGAAAGAAACTGAATTACGAAGAGGACTGATTGCCCACATCAGAAAGAGACAATCTACATTATGTAGTCATGTGTAGAGAAGGAGAAAACTGGAGTACATCGTGACGGTAGGAAAGTTAGAGGGAGGAGATGCAGAGGAAGACCGAGAGAAAAGATGCTGGACAGTCTGACATCATGGCATGGAGTTTCATCTTTGCCAGAGTTGGTTGAAAGTACACGAGACAGAAGGTTGTGGATAGACATGACTACTAACTCCACACGGCATGCACTTTCAGAACAAGAAGTACATTAAACACACATTCCCAGTAAATTACATTTCTCAGTGAAGTATGTTTTACGTCTTGGATCATGATATAATTTGAGTCTTAATATGGGTGCATATTTACACATGTTTTTATAACATCACCAGGACCTGTGATATGGTAAGGTACACAGAGAATGGCCAAACCTACACCGCACCAGGAGTTTACGATCCAGTGGCCAAAGCTTGTCGATCCAGCTCCACGTCGTGCCCCAGAAACCCGTGATCATAGTATTCAAAGCGCCTCCCCTATGTACATGTTAGCTAGAATGATAAACTCTTTTTGTAAGGTTTGGAGTACCCCAAAACCGATATTAAATTATTCACACTTCACTTAAAAGTGACTTTAAAACAATTATAAATCAGTTGGAGATGCGGTCAATTCCACGTCGGACATATTTACTTCTTGCTATATTTCTCAGCTACCCATGTTCCTAAATTGCAACTTTGGTGTATCGACTTTCATGCTCGTGTTTCTCGTGGGGGTATTCTAGTTCTGGTATCATAAATGTATTTCTTGTTGTGGAGTTCTAGTTGCAATAACGTTCCTTGTGGGGGTATTCTACTTCTGGTATCATGAATGTATTTCTTGTTGTGGAGTTCTAGTTGCAATAACGTTCCTTGTGGGGGTATTCTACTTCTGGTATCATGAATGTATTTCTTGTTGTGGAGTTCTAGTTGCAATAACGTTCCTTGTGGGGGTATTCTACTTCTGGTATCATGAATGTATTTCTTGTTGTGGAGTTCTAGTTGCAATAACGTTCCTTGTGGGGGTATTCTACTTCTGGTATCATGAATGTATTTCTTGTTGTGGAGTTCTAGTTGCAATAACGTTCCTTGTGGGGGTATTCTACTTCTGGTATCATGAATGTATTTCTTGTTGTGGAGTTCTAGTTGCAATAACGTTCCTTGTGGGGGTATTCTAC